AGGGGGGGGGGTTGTATCTATTTTGTTTATGCTTTTGTATCCCTCCCTCCACCCCCCCTCCACCCTTATTTCCTAAATCAGTATCATGACATGAACTCTTGAAATGTTTCAGTTAAAATCTAGGAGGGAAATTTTAACGAAACAGAAGTCTTTTTAGGGTTTCCATTCGAAGCGTTTTCTTTTAATAACGACTTTCTTGGTTCTGTCGGTAATTGGATGACGTTTGCGATATTGTAGTCATTTTACTTTTACGATATGATGAAACTTTATGTCCATGAGGAGTGGCGTCAGTAGTCTAGTGGTTAGGCTACCAGCTTCGTAATCGTGTGATTGTGGGTTCGGGGGTTCGAGCGTCAGCTCAGTCCGACGTTGTGTCCTTTAAAGGCGCTTTACAAGGACTTCCCATTTGGCTCGTTCCCTTTGGAGATGGACGTTACACTCGAAGGTCCCACTTTTTAAATAACGTAATAGTGTTGATAAGGGTGTTAAACCTATGCCATTTCACCTTTTTTAAAAATGGCTCAAGTGGAACGTTTTTCGTGGCTACGCATAATAATGGTTAAAACACACAAAGAGCTACATACGGTCTAAACTGCACATTACTTTCACAGAATAATTTCAGTATAAAGAGAGTGTAACACTGACATTAATACAGCATATCAGATCAGGTGAATTTCTCAAACATCAGACAAGAAGTTATGACTTATATTTTTTTAAAGGTATATTATTAGTACACCTGCCTAGAGAAAACAATCAACGGCAACACGCTTTAATTTCATTACGACCACAACCTTATCGCTGTTGGTGGAATAGAGGCCTAAAAGACACTGTTGGGAATGGGTTTGTGCGTGTGTGTTCTTGTGTATGTTTGTGGGTGTTTACAGTGGTGCAAGAATTGAGGGTAGGGGGGGGGGATGAGGGAGGTTGTAATAATAAGAAGACTACAATAATTAGTAACACCCTGTTATGATGAAATACCAATGTAAGGATACTAATAACACTGGTCTACACATTTTCAAAAAGTTTCTGCTTCGGCACTCGAACATCGCTTCTCATAATATTACGGATTTATTTATTTTTATTTTTTAAAATTT